CAAAAGGGATTAAATATAACTCCCAAGCCATATAACCTTGCCCCTCCCTTCTTACCTTCTGGGAAGGTGGGCGCGAGCGTACACACACACACACACACTCACACACACACGCTCATTCTCACATTCACTCTGACACTCCCTGTTGAAGGATTCCAAAGGATGCTTCAAATGCATTAAAATGGAGGGCGCTCTCCAAGTGCTGAAGGCATTTATTGCCTGAGGAACCCCTATTCCTCAGCATAGGCTAAGAGAGAAAGAGGAGCATTCTCAACACTGTGAGGATAAAAGGTATTCAAGAGCTAGAAAAGGGCGCACTTCGTAATCTCACGAACAGGGAAAGCCACGGATCATAATTTCAGGGTTCTGGGAAGGCCTGTTACCACTTCCCTACTTAGCTGGACCCTTAAACTCCAAGTCTGGCTCTTCATTTCTTTATCTTAAGATTTTTATTTCTGTTAAAGTGTAAGTTTCTTTTAATTTTCTATTGATTACACACAGGATAAATTCATTTCATCAGACCTTTTTATGAGAATAACTAGACTATTAGTTTTCTTTTTCTGCCTTTAGACTATTCAGATCATCATTATTTACATCTCTTAAAGTAACTGACACCCAATTACTTTGAGTCAGACTGCAGTATGTTTTGGGGTGTTTCTTGTCAGAATTTGGAGGAGTATGCGTACAGTTAACAAAAGCCATTTCTGATGCCCCCTCCCAGGCCTCTGCTCAGACCACTCCAAAGCCTGGACTACCATGTAGATCAATAATTTCTTGATTGCAGGGATTCCTTCTAAATTCCATCAAACACAATCCTTGGCCCATAGGGTGGTCTTCATAAATATTTTTTAAACAGATATTGATAGAGGAAGAGCAAGAAGATACTATGGACCTGGATGTTTGGATGAAACAACCAGTAAGAGGGAAAAACGTTAACCACTTCCTAATTGTGTCAAAGACCAGCTTGTGGGGAGATGGCCTATACAAAATAATAATAACATCTAACACTTACTGGGAGTTTATTATGCACCTGTCACTGTGCTAAGAAGTTTATATGCATTATCTCATTTAATGCTCTCAGCAATCCTAGGAGGTAGGTACTATTATTATTCAATTTTATAGATGCAGAAACTGAAGTTCCGAGAGGTAAAGTAGGTTGCCCACAGTCACACAGCTGAAACATGGTAGAGCACAGTTTCAAATACAAGCAATCTGATTCCAGATTCACACTGCCAGAGTGACCCAAGAACTGAAGTACTAACATCATGTCAGAGCCTTATCATGGCTTTTCCTTCCCTTCCCCCATATACCCCTGCCCCAATTTGGACATTTCTTCTATTGTTTCCAGACAGAACTAAAGCTCTTTGTCACTCCTTTTTTCCAAACTCAATCGCATTTTCAGAAGTATGCAATTCTCCCACTCACCCTCTCCGAGGAGCCTCCCTCACCATCTCTACCCCCAGGTAACCCAAGACCCCATGAGCTGGTACAACATCAGAGACTGGAAGACTTGATAAATTAGAAAGACTCAGGGAGACCCTCCTCCTTGGAGGGATGCCCCTGAGACCCACGTTCTCTCCCATCGACAGCAGTTTAAGCACTCCTCACAGCCTTGTCCAGAGAGCCTCTCTCCAGTCTGGAGGCCCATGACTTTCTGTTCTCTTTTAACCCCACTCCAAGCCTCCTTGTTGTCTCCTTGTCATTTGTGTCTCCCAGCACCTTTCAGTCTTCCATTATGTGTACTGACTAAAGCTAATGGGAAGGCCTACAGTCAGGATCCAAAGATGACCAACCTTTCAACCCTCAGTAAAGCGCTTGGTAGAGGCTGAACTCCCCAGCACCAGGCCTGATTTCCATGGTGACACCCCTGGGGATTGTTGCCACGGTAATGCTGGAGAGACATTGGCCACAGTGAACATTACCTCCCCTCTCCATGTTCCTCTATGAAACTGCCCCAAAGCTGAGGGGAGACCTGCCTGCTCCCCTTTTCAGATATCAAAGGAATCCCAGGCCACCCCAAACAATACTGACTGCTCTAATAATCCTGCAGGTTCTAACCTAGCTTTTCCAAATGAGGTACTTAATGGTTCCGGGAGGTTGCCTCCTTAAGAACTCACTTAACCACCTGAGGAAGGTAGAATGTAACAGATAACTCGAATAAAGGAGGGAAGGAAGGCGAGATGGAGGGAGGGAGAGAGGAAGAGAGAAAAGAGAGAAAGAGAGAGAGTGTGTGTGTGTGTGTGTGTGTGTGTGTGTTTCTTTACTGTCACCCTTCCCACATCTGGTATAGATGTAACTGCACACACAGCAGGCCCTGGGACACTCTGATCACTAAGACCAAAAAAGAGAGACACTTAAATGGATCTGGTGAAAAAGTCAACATTGGATTCTGAGTGACACAAAGAGCAAAACAAGGTACACAGCACACATAGTGACCCAGACACCCTTCTACTATGACTCAGGTCATTAACTTTGGCTAAGCCCCATCCCCCAGATTCCTGGGACAAGTCAGGGGAGTGAAGGAGGGATAAGGCTCATAGAGCTGTCCCTCCAGCTTATTCTCCTACCCTTTGCCGAGCAGAAAAAGCCCATGAAAATTAGGGAGTCTGAAGCCCAGAGCTAGCAGCAGTGCCGCAGAGGCGCAGAGGCAGAGACGAGAGCTGTTAAAGAAAGGAGCGGGGCTTGGTGTGGACAGATCCCTCTCTCCCACTTTCACTCTTCCCTCATTGCCCCAGACATCTTGAAGCAGCTTCCTTCATTAATTCCTCAGGGAGTTTTTCACACAGTGGGCCTCAAAGGGAGCTAGAGGAGGAAAGAGGAAAGGGGGTAGGATATTTCCTTCCCTTGTTGGGATCCTCAAGGGTCTCCTCAAAAATCACTTCTCTTATAGCCCTCATCTTCCTGAATGGTAATGAACAGTAAGGCTGGGAAGACAAGCTCCAAGGATGCTGCCTGAGACAAAATGGCCCCCCATAAGTCTTTATCTTGGAATGAGAGATTGACGGGAAGGGCTACGGTGAGAGCAGATACAGAGCAAGACAAAACTACAGACCTACAAATATCAGGCAAAACAGATAAGGAAGGCCCAGCTATGGAGCTAAGATAGAATCTGAACTGGCAGGGCCTCTCCTCATCTCCCCTCCTTCCCCACCTTCCTCCATGTCTCTCCTGTTAGCTGCGTGAACTGGACAGATCCATACCACAACTCCTTCTCCCAACATCACCCCATGCCCCATGCTCACCAAGCCAGGATGAACAGCCAGAGAGCCTAGAGGAGTTGGTTTAGACTTACCTGAAAAACCTACAGCAAAGGAAGCTAGGCTTAAAAGTAGATACCTTTTGTGGATTTGCTCCGCACATAACAACCTCCCTCCTGTTTCTCAGTCTTTATATCTCAGAGGGACCTGAAGCTCCAACTCTCATAGCTAATGCCTGCTGCCCAGACTACTCAGAGAGGAGTCCCCCCAGGGTTGATCCACTGACCAGACTGCAGGCCTAATGTCCCTGAGGCAGAAAAAGACAGGTCCTCTCAATGTGGCAAACATTCACATTCATAAGCATACACACGGCATCAGCACCCATTTGAGTACACAGTGTGGGTGAGAGAGCTCAATGTGGTGCCAGACTGAGGCCCTTGGGGACAAGACATGTAAGCAGGTCTCTTTCTAAGGCATGTCTACTCAAAGTCCCATTCTCACTGATTCAGAAGGCCCAGGCTCCCTTCCCTTCTTCATTCCTTTAGCAAACATGCCTTGTGCCAAGCACTGTGAATCAAAGATACATAAGAAGTGCTCCTGACCTTGAGGACTGTCCTCCTATGTGCCCCTCCTTTCTCAAAGTGGCTAATTTCCTGGCCCAGCACCCCTCAAGCCCTACTGGACTCCACTCCAATCCTTTCATCCCTTAGCCTGACAATCCCTATCAACTTAGGAAAGGAGGGGTAGGCAAGGAGTTCTCTACAAATTCCCTTTGGACCATCACAGATAAAGACTAGAATAGAAATCTATGGAGGCAATATGACATGGAGGAGAAGACATGAGCTTTGGAATCACAGACTTAGGTTCACATCCATGAATTCACAGTGTGACCTTGAGAAAGTCATTCAACTTCTTTGGGCCTCAAGTCCCTCATCTGTAAAATGGAAATATTAATACCCACTTCAGACTGTTGTACTGAGGATTAAATAATATATGTAGAGTGACAACCACACAGTAAATATTAGTTCTCCTTCATAAGATCTGCTCCATGGGTAGGGGCTGTCAGGATGAAGTAGAGGAGGCTTGCTACTTTTTATTGGATCAACAGAAAGGATGAATAAGCAAATACTTGTTAGGATCTCAGGGTCTGGTTATTTTTATTTGTTAGGGGGAATTGGGTGGGTCTGAAATCCTCTTCCTACTGTACCTGGGAAGGAAAGGCAGACATTTCCTTAGGATCCCCAAACTAGGTGTGGCATCAATGAATTTCTTTCTCAGAAAACCCTTCGTCAGACCTGTGCCCTCCCTCCAACTCCAGGTTGCAACTATTTCGGGGAATGCTGGAGCCCTGAGCCCATTCTCTTTTGTATCTCCGCACAGATACTGGACTGTCCACCTCCGATCTAGTCCATCCACTAGTCTCCCCCTCCCTTCCTGGGAGCTGGGGGTAGAGATATGAGCCAATAACAAAGGGAAGACACGCTTTCTCTAGGGGTGAGGGAAAACATCAGAAAAACATGGGACTGGTTGTAAGGGGTGGGACGCTGCAGAGGGCAGCAAAGGGGAGGTGGGTGACCTGATCTGGGGGAAGTAGCCCCCTCCCACTTTGCAGAGATTTGGCCGTGGGCCAGGCCAGGCCACACCCAGCCATCCTGGTGCAGGGGAGAGGAGGGGCTTCGGCGAAAAGGTTGGAGGATGAGTGGCGGGGAGGGGGTGCAGAGAGACAGGCAGGGGCTAAAGCTCCGCGAGGGGTAGGATTCAACCTCCTGCCAGCTCCCTGAAATTCCCTCCTGTAGCGGCACTCACCCCAATAACAACGCTGTCGTCCCCTTGGAAAATGGGGATGAACTTGTCTCCCCGAAGAATCTCGGCCTGGTTCAGGGGCCGAAATCGGCAGAGCACCTTGATGCTGCATTCGTTGTTGGTCTCCGTCATGGTGGTCGCCGGCGTGGGGCTGGGGCTCTCCTTGAGCGACAGAAGTGGTGCGTGCTCCAAAGGCAGGAGCTCAGCGGAGGCCGCGGCGGGGGACAGGTGTTCGATCTCTGGGGCCGAGAAAGCTCTGGGGGCGCCCGGGTGCAGGCCGGGGAGCAGGGCCGGGGCGCTTCCTCTCTCCTGCGGCAGCGGGATGCGGGCGACCTAGACGCCTGGTCCTCTCCGGGCGCTCTGCCTCTCCGCCCCCAGCGCTGCAGCGCGGCTCTGCGGGCCTGGGCGGGGCG